TATTGTTACCGGTGTTGTTTTTATCTGCAAGATTTCCGATTTTTGAAGTACACTATTTTACTATTCCACGGTCAAGAGTTGTTTTAGCAGTTGTTAAGTCAATTTATTTTAAATGTGTAAATAGTTTAATGAAATTGAAAAAATGGAGTTGGTCACTCTGTGAACTCGTATATTAATTCCTGCATATTTTTTTCATTATACGTACACATGGATATGTTTCGTTTCTCATTTACAAGATGTGTCTACAAAAATATTTTAAATAAAGAGAAATCATTGTTAATATTTTAAGAATTTTATTAGAATATCACTGTATTTCGTACAGAGAATGTGTATGCAACTTTCGGTTGGCAGTGTATATTAAGAATGCGACCAAATGTATGGTAAAATGAATAAAAGATGATTCCTTGCGAGGAAATAAATCAAAAGTGTATAGAATAAAACTCTCTCATGTTAGATCGATATTTATGAAGGTGAGTTTATGAAAGTCACATACAGTTACATGTGAATTATAGAATGTTTGTCACAATCGTATACAATAAATTGAAATGATTTAATAACATACGTGCAATATAATCACAATACACGTAAATTGTAAAATTCTGTTGGGAAATAAGTGAATAAAATACAAATTTAGAGAAGTATAATGATAATATTGATGAATTAAATATGAATAATGTAACGAATAATGTAAAAATTGTATAAAATATTATACATGATACAGAACACACAACATAGTACGTTCTAGTAACAATGACAAGAATTGAAAAGTTATTTTTGTATGATGAATTTATTCTGTAGATCGCTCGTTTGAAATTTTCAACTTCATTATAATAATATGGTGGAAAATTTCAGAAATATCAGTCTCTAAATATCTTGAATTCAAAACAGAAAACAAAAAAAATCTTGAAAAGCAAATGTAGATCATAAACCGTGCAATAACAATAATTAAGTTAATAAATAAAATTACCAGATCGCGTGAGAAATTACACCATCTGTAATTAACCTTTAGTGATTTACACCTTTTGTATATTGTTGATAATTTCACGTATACACATATTTATGATAATTTTATTTAAGAAATTTTATTTACTGTTAGTAATTTCATTTAAGAAAGAATTTATTTTACTTATTGTTAATAACTTTATCTAAGAATTTCCAGCCGGGAATTTCGAGTGAAGAAAGTTCATGTGAAATTCACGTAGTTTTAAAGGGAGGAGAATAATTATTCGTACCTGAGGGAAATATTGGTTGGAACGTTTCGGGTGAAATTTACGAATATGTGCAAGGAGCCCGTTCGTGTCTCTTCCTTTATCGCTTACTCGTTTGTCGCACACAGGACACCACGTAGCCACGTACGACTGTGACGAGAATGGAATATAATGTAATTTACGACGTTATTGAATTCTAACCTGTACGAGTTTAGCCAGAGAGTTTGTTCCCGCTGTCTGTCCGTTAGTTGTTGCTTAGGAATTAAATGAAGCACTTTTGCGGGAAGATAAGGCAACCTGTGTTCCGCATTTCATATTCTTCAAATTCCTTCGTCTGTCGTACGTTCGTTGCGCATTCTTTTCCAGGCAGAGATATTTGATGTAAACCCTTCACAGTATCATCGACTGGGTGAAATCAGGCGCGCGTGATGACGAGTCCACCGAACTTAGTTGAACAAGCTAATGAAATTACGTATTAAATATTGTTTAATATCGCACCTGGTGTCCAAAATGTCACGAGTTTAGTCAAATTTTCAATATTATAATATTCTTTTCGTATCTTCCATGATTATTTTTCATATGGAAATAAAGAGTTTGATACTTTAAAAAAAAAAAAAAATCATTTGACACCAGAACTATCAGAGTGGTCAAGATGAACAATTTATAATTTTCTGTTTATTATTAAAAAATTTTAATCTCCATAAATCATTTTGTAACGCGATATTCTTTACATGATATGATCATATAAATAGTTGATACATTATTTTCTTATGTATTCACATAATCTTATATATCTAGCAATTTTTTTTTAAAAACGTGTATATAAAATTGCACATCCATACAGTGAGTTCAAAAAACGATGTATTAACATAGTAGTTAAATTCATTTATCGCAGTTGTTTCATGAATCGCGATATTTGCTCATTAAATGAAGTACATTGCCATAAAATATGGTTTATATCCTGTGATGGCCACATTTGGCAACGTTAGTTAGATCTATTCGACCAAGTGAGAAAGAGAAAGCTATAATGGTCAG